CTATATATTCAAGATCATATGTTGGCAATTTTGAACTTATTTTAATTGTCTTCAACTTCAACTTGAACTTGCCTATGAGCAACTGATAGTCTATTCCATAGACAGCTCCTAGTTTTGGCTGAAGACATGGAGCTTTTCCATTGTCTTGCATATGTAGTCAATCTGATTCCTGTGTACTTCATCTGGCAAAGTCCACATGTATAGCCACTGTTTGTGTTGTTGAAAAAAAGGTATTTGCTATGAATAAGTAGTTGGTCTTGAAAAATTCTATCATGCCATCTCCAGAGTTATTTCTATCACCAAGACCAAATTTTCCAACTATCAGTGATTCTTCTTTGTTTTCAACTTTTGTATTCCAATCACCAGTGATAATTAACACATCTTGATTGTCCTTTATATTGTTCATTTTGGCACATTTTCTTCATCTGACCCTGTGTTTGGCTTACATCTCTTTGTACATGTTCTAAAACCAATGTCTTTCCTCTTGGAGCTCTATCACACTGATTATGCTCTATGTCTAGGCTACTGAATTTACTTTCACCTTCAGACAGCTATCAGAAATCATAGGAGATAAAAAAGGCAGCATTTGTCCAGTGATAAAATTCAGATGGCAGGAAGGGATAGGAATGAAGGATAGAGAGAAACAGTAAAACGGGGAGCAAGTGGGAAGAGTGCTGTTACATTGAGGTTGCAATCAATTACACAAAACAAAATGGGCATGAATTGTTGAATGCCAAACTAATTAGTTCTGTAAATGTCCACCCACATCACCATAAGAAGGGGGGAAAAAAGAATCTCGGAAAGATCTTTCTGGAAATTACAACAAACCTAGAGGATATTAAATAAAGAATTAATACATTTGACTACATTTGAAAAATCAATATATTTCACAACATTAAGAAAATCAGTTTAATAGCTAGGTTATACAGCTGTCCTACAAAAAGAACCTTCACTGTGCACATATTAAAATTATTAAATATATTATCCTCTCAAACACATGAAATCATTATGATATAAAACACATTTTTACCAAATTCTTGGAGGTCTGGTAGTGTATTACCTAAGGCATTTGACTACTAACCAGAAAGCTGATGGTTCAAACCCACCAGCCACTCCTAGGAAGGAAGGTTGGGCAATCTACTTCCATAGTGATACCACCTCAGAAACCCAAGGAGGGGTCACTAGGAGTCAGATCCAAGTAGATGACAGTGAGATAATTTTATGCAATCTGTCAGAATTTCCCAAATAATACTACATTCTTCTGAAACTAAATTAATTCCAAATGGGTTTATACTTAGTATCTAATCTATACAGCCACTCCATACCAATAGCCTTAGCTCTGTACATATTTTTTACAATTTTTCCTGATGGTTTACATGGCTTATTTTTCTCCCTCTTAATTTCTTTGGTGGTTTTTTGTTGTGTTTTGTCTAACTGAGTGGAATAGAGTAACACTGCCAATATGACTCAATCATACCTGCACTTCCTAAAGCCCCACGTAGTGAGTGACAACCACCACTAGCTTCTGCACCATCTGACCAACAATAGACAATGGCCAGTACCAGCCCATCTCACCCTTAATGGCTCTTCATGAACAGCTAACACAGATCTGGGCACAATCTCACTGTGTATCATACCTACCAGGAAACAGATAGTGAATGTCCAAATGCTGCAAACTAGCCAATAGTGGACACAGTATCCTGCTTAGTCAGATACATGAAAGCAAAATAAAGGAAAAAATAATTGTGAGTGAATCACACCAACATATAATCACCAATTAAATATAAATACCATGATGTCTCAATGTCTCAGAGACAACACAACATCACAGTCTACACATAGAAGTCAGATAATGTAGGAGAAACAAGGGACCAAGAAACAGACCCAGAAAACATCCCTAGGGAAGAAACAGCATTAGAACTGCCTCATAATGAATTTAAAAGAATTTTCTTTAGGTACCTTCAGCAGCTTGAGAGATACATCAAGGACAACACAGGAAAAATGAAGAAAAACATAAAAAACCTCAAGGACAATTTAGGAAAACAATATAAGAACTGACAAAATAAACAACAAATTAGAATTGATACAAAATCTACAAACAGGAATCCAGAAGATTAATACTAACATTTCAGAAATAGAGAACATATTGAATGGGCAAAGGAGTAGAATGAGATCAGTGGAAGAGA